AAAGTCATAATCAAATACCATTTAGTCTGCCTAATTTGACTATTTTGATCTTCATCGGTGGATTGATGCTTGCCTCACCCCGCTTACATCTTGGAGATTCAATAATTAATAGTTTGTTATTTAAAACATAATTTTGTAAAATAAAAACTAAAGATATTAAATGCCAGCTCCCTTGGGCAAGAAAAGACGTATTTGATAGATCATATCGTTTTATTCTATTCGTAACTTTTAGAATCTTGTTCGGGTACCCCTCTCCAATTACAAATCCATCACTGAAGATCCTGAAAAGACACGTCTGACATAAAAACTTCGATTATATGCAGACCATGTTGATCGGAAACGACCAAGATACAGATTCATCACCACGCTGACCTCAAGAAGAAATGTCACAATTATTTGTACACTTTAGTACTTTACAGAATTCTTAGGGCTAGCCTACTCATGTGCTGAGCTCGGGAAACCTAGGACTTTGTCCATAAAACCCCAATTTTGAAAAGTTGGAACAGGGGACAGAGAAACTGCATTCGCTCAGTTGCCTCACCCAGCTTATATCCCTCATCTGTTGTTTATTGTTATATCGGCAACTGAACATTTTTTTTGCATCCTGGACATCATTTCAAGCTTTGGACCAAAAATGTCTGTATGTCAGCGTATGATCTGACTTAAATGAGCACGTAGAGTCAGATACTTTCAGGGCCACATACCGACGGCGCCCTTGATTCTCTATGTACTCCCTTATCTGCATTTATTTAAATTTCAATGTACATACTTTCCTTTCCTCTCAACCCGGCTGAATTAGGTTAAACCGCTTAATTTGAAAAAGATGCATTACGTAAACAATCGATTTTGATTGCCAAATTTATTTGATATGGTGTTTACGTTGAACCGGGCGGCCCTTCATTTGCCTTTTACGACTAAGTTAAGAAATGGTTTCCCAATTCAGTTTTCACACGATCAAAAATTTGGCAAGTGATTTAGCCCGTCCATACGCCACTTTCGCTCTCGATGTTTAAATCACAGAGTCACAACCTTCCGGAGTGGAAATCGACCTTTTTAAAACATCTGGACGAACTTGAACTGGGAGTTCAAATCAGGATCGCTCAGCCCTGTGGTGGGATTATCGTGAGGCACTCGCCGGTTGAGAAAGAGCTGTTGCGCCACCGGGCCGTTGGGATTCAGAAGTTTACAGGTGGCAATTGCGTGGGGCAGCTCATCTTCGGGCTATTCCAAAACTCACAGATACCGATCCACGAAATAAAACTGGTTCACAAAATTTTCAATTTCCAGTGTTTTTTTAAAAATATTTTATTATATCGTTTTATACAATTTTATAAAATTTACTGTTGCTCCTCGCTGAAGACGGCATGAAGCCAATGCGCGTTTAATTAGAGAGAGTAGTCGGACCCTGTAATGTATCGAGCCATTTGTAACAACCGTGCAATGTATAAAAAAAAATTGTGGATGATTCAAACCGAAGAAAAGTTTCTTTGCTGTTATGTTTGATAACTGAATTTAAATTTTTTTAAAGTACCAGCATAATTAAAAGAGAATCGATCCTCAACAGTCTGAAGTTTTCTAATCTTAAAGGAAGACTATGGATGTGGGATCACATATTTCAATGAAACTTTTATTAGAAATACTAGGTCGAAATTATTCACGTGTCAGAACTTTCTTGCCAATGGGTTTTAGAAACCAAGAAGAAAATTAACTACTGTGTTTTCCGGAAAATAATGCAGGTTTTTAAGTTTTCTTTCATTTACCTATAATTTCATTTACCATATCTATATAATGAACTGTTACGTTTGATGGATGCGAATTTTAAAACTTTTTATCTCTTCCAAACAAAAATGTTTGTTTACTTAAGCATCTCGTTACTTAGGAATACTTCAGTCTTTAATAAGATGTCAACGCGTGATTTTCGCTTTACGAGTTTGAACTCGGAACAGTGCCCGAACGACCAGAAATATTAATGAAGTCTGGGGGGGGGGCAGTGTCACTGAGAGCATCGTGAGGGAGCCTTTATCCTCGAAGAGAAAGAAGGTCGGGGAAGGATTTCTTCCCAAGTTGATGTTCTGCGAGCTTTTGTGGAAGAAAATCCCAGAAAAACTGTTCCAGAACTTACAGAAAATCATTCAGTTAGCAAACCGATCGTCGCTGATCTTAAGACAACTGGAAAGGTGAAAAAGCTCGAAAATTAGGTATTAAACGACCGACAAAACAATCGTCGTTGTGAAGTTTGCGCAGCACTTCTTTGCCGGAACAGCAACAAAACCTTTCTGGACAGAATTGTCACTTGTGATGAAAAGTGGATTGTCTAGGATATCAGCCACTGTCCAGTGGCTCGACAAAGGAGAAGCAGCACCACATTTTCCAAAGCCCCAAACTCACCAAAAAAAGGTGATGGTGACTCTTTGATGGGCTTCATTTGGGCTGATTTACTACTGTTTCGTGAATCCTGGCGAAACAATGAATGCAGAAATTGCTCTCAAACTGCAGCAATGCACCAGAAACTGGCATAATTGAAGCCATCTTTGGCCAATCAGAAATCGGCTGATTCTGCACTTGATATGCAGAAGAGAAATTTTTAAAAGTAATATACTAATAAAATAATTATTTAAAAAATTACATAAAATGACAATAGTCAAATAAATTTTATGCATACTGCTACAACTAATTTGTATAAATCTGTTTTTTGTTTATTTTTTTAATGAATAAGACGATTTGTTAGCTCTCGAGCACAAGTTATACTTACTGAGAGCAGGCTGTTCATTTTACATTATTTTGTTCTGAAGTTTTACAACATAAAAAATTTACTGATCAAAAGTCTTTAGAAAATGCGTTTACAGAATTTGGTACAAATAAAGACCCAAGATTCTATTCAGAGTGTATAGTGTTGCCATCATCATTGGTCAAATGTATTGAGAGTGAGGGTATTTTAATTAATAAAAATTATTTAAAATAATTTTAAATATTGTCCTAATTGTAAAATTCAAAAGGTGGGGTTGAGATGGGAAGTTAGTATCCGAGTGGATGGAGGTCACGATAGCACAAGTAGTAGAGCAGCGGCGTATCTAGCCGAAGGTCGTGGGTTCGAATTCCGCTCGTGACACTGACTTTTTTATCTCAACTTATAAAAACCTTAATTAATTATTGTAAATGTTGTTTTATTTTATAACCATAAACCTGCATTATTTTTCGGACAACCCAATAATCTACATTTTTTAAAATACGGTTTTCGGCTTTGTTGTAAATGTCTTTCAAGGTTATAGGTATAAGTTAGATAAGTCGATTAAAAAAAATTAACCTAGGATAAGGAAATAATTTGGAAAATCGTATTAAAAGAGATTAGATATATAAAAAGTCAAAAACGAAAAAACCATTGGAGTAAAGTATGCAAAAACTCGCAGTTTGTACAACTATTATCCTTAACTCTAACCCTAACACTACCTCACCTAAATGAACTTATGCTCTCTAACCCTACTTAACCTAACCTAATCTGTCCCTGACTTTAACCAGGGTTTAAGCGGTGATTAAATCATTAAATAACCGATAGCATGAAATCTTCTTATTGTTAATGAGTATTATTTTAAAACAGCAGTGCAAAGCAGTCTGCATTTGGTCTCAGTTATGCTCATTTATTACAGGAGGTACCCTACTACCCTACCCCTCCATAACCCTAACCAAACTAACCCAATCTAACCCAGCAATGCACATTCCAGGCAACGCGATATAGAAGACATGAAAATCCGAGAAAAAAAAATCAGATTTGTTTTAAGAACAGTTTAAAGCTCTTAATAGGGATTAGCTACATCGCTTGATCTCAAAATTGTTAATATATTAATATAAGTGTTATTTCAATAAATAGCCCTAATTTGCTGATTCTTTTCCTATATTTGCAAAGTAATACAATTTTTGGGAAAATAAAACACTAACTCAAATCCCTCACATCCGATTTTTTTCGAAAATCACAAAAATATTACTACTAACTTTGAAATGATTCCACCGATCTACGGGCAACTTTACAGGAGCTTAGAACCATATAAACTACGAGCAACGGTATAAACTTGGCCTCAGTAAAAAATTAGAATCTGAAAAAGTTTGGGAAGTTTTTGTTGATTTCATCCTTATTTCCCTCCCATATAATAACATAAAATATAAAATCTTGTTGACAAAGTTAAAAAAGAGCGATTAAGCTTTATAACGGTTGTAAGAATATTGAATTTGGATAGAGTTCAGAGGATTTATGAATTTTTGGGTGTCTTGAACTCAACCATACTTTGTATAAAAAATAATGAATCAATTAAAATATTTGCTTTGGTTAATAGGACAAAGTAAAACGTCGATAATCTAATACGATTGCACGTTATTTGAATACTGGGAAAAAAGTTAAAGGTTGAGGTGGTTAGTTGGTCTCTTGAGGGCAGAAGTCACGACTAATTTTTCAGTTCAATCATACTTTGCACGAAAATAATAAATCAGTTGATTATAGAATGAATGCTTGTTGATTTTGTTAAGTTTATAAGTTATTGATGTTGTTAACACTTGGGCAATTTATTGTTCTATGTCAATAATTATTTTCTTGTTTGCCAATGGCATGAACGCCGGTTCGATCAAACGTTAAATAACAATTCTCACTTCTAGTTTCACCCACGTGTCAAATTAGGCTTTACTTACTATTTCAAATCGAGTTTTGTAATAGTCAAATTATTTTCGAATTTCCTATGAACATGTCGAAAGTAAGGTCAGATGGACGGCCCCGTAATATCGTTTCGTGGCGCTGGGGTTCTTGTACGTTTCAAAAGTCAAATCGCTTCATTACGCAAGTAAATAAATCGAAACAAAAGCTAGAAAAGAAGCCGCATGTTGAACGATGCTAATGAAAAGAAAAGCTTTCCCCCTTCGGCCAGTATTTGTGAACCATTTTGAAATCTTCGCTAACACGACTCAAATATGTTGCGACACTGCCAGGAATATTCTAATATAATTTATTATTGTTTTAGATGAACACATACTACTATTTCTACACAGCAATTACTACAGTGTCGAGAAGACGAAAAATACGATTGACTCTTATTTCGTAATCAGGGCTGAAAACCCTGAATCCTTCTCCAACTGGGACACGGCGGCTATGGAGACTGCATTCAAAACATAGTAAATACAATTCATTACATCGTCTTTTTTTAATTAAACTATTTATTGTTATGTATCTTTCTCATTTTATGTCATAGGGGAAGTTAAGAAACGAAAGTAAAGAACTAAGAGAAAGAATTAGGAACTAATTTGTTTTTTCTCGATTATTGAGCTAATACTTAGTCGGTAGTTGAAGAAATTGACTGAACAATCAAGTACAAGTTTTGAAGTTCAAGGCGCTCCACTTCGGATCATTAAAGATAGACAGACATCCAAATGAACTGAAACAGACAGAACGAAACCTGTGTTCTTCTCTATCCATCAAACATTCGTTTATAGTCAAGATGAAACCATTCAAAAGAAATTTTCCATGAATAGTCCAGTAAAAATTGTTGCGAAAACGAATGCGATCCGGGTTTTTATAAGATAACCTTCAAATCAATTTGAAAAACTAAAACCACTTAGAATGAAAATTTTTTCACTTTCTACACTAGCAACATAGTCTGCACGTTGACGTCCTTGAACCAAAACAAGATTACACTCCGGGGGGGGGGTAAATGTGGGTATCAAAATGAACCTTTAAGTTTGGAGAAAACAAAAACATAGGAATGTGAAGTCCAAAATAACTTAAAGTAACCCAGGACAACTTAATGTAGTATAAATAAGTTATGCAAATATATAATATAATTGTATGGTCTTATTTTTATTTTCTAATTATCGTTCTTTTCTCGATCAATAACAATCTCTGTTGTGCTATTTTTCTTGTCGGCTGAAAGAAGAAACTGACCTACTCCTCAAAGTAGCCCAATGTATTATATTTGAACAAAAAAAAATCGTTTTTTAAATATTTATTTAAATTTTTTTCATGAGTAGTGATGGCGGGTGATTGAATGATTGATCGTTTTATTGTATCACGCAAAGTTAGGTCTCTTGGCCTTTCTTATACTTAACGTGAATATTATAAATAGCCTACATAAGTCGTAAGTTATACATAACAACACATTTGGTACCAAGGATTCGCCTTGACATAGTTTGTGGGTTTGAGCTGACCAACGAGTTTATAAAGTGTCTGAGCTTAAGGTGCTAATCAATCAGATTGAATCATAATCATAGATCTTTTGAGAATTAAGCAAGAATTTCGTACAAAACTGAAAACTTCAGTTTGTTCGCTTCTCCTTGGGGGAAGAAAAATAGTCCACATCGTTCGCCGATGAAAACGAGGCATTCACTATCTAGGTATAGATAAATAAATATTGCAGAGCGTACATGTGCGCGAAAAATTCAAGTAGAATTTTCTGAATTCTTGACAAGTTCCAGCCAGCTAGTCTCGTTTACGCTGGAGCATTGATTTCCTACTAGCTTCCTAGCAAGTCTGAGTGGGCAAAAGAAAAAGCACATGACCGATTCATGTATATGTTGTAACATATAACAAAGTAGACGAGAAGGAGATTCTACCTTTTTAATATTCATCACTAGGTCTAACTAGGCTAACTAGGAAGAACAATTTCAAAGTTAGCTTCGACGAGGTTTAACTGTCAAGTTGTAGCATATCCATTAAATTGGACAGTTCTAGCGAGCGGTCTGTCGTAGCAAATTTTTGGCCTTCCGACAGATTCCATCAAAAGTATTTTTTGCAATTGAACACTGACTTGGATGTGGAGTATTTTAGGTGGGTTAGGTCGATTTCCAGGTGAACAAAGTAATCTGGAGTTTTCTAAGCAAGACCAGAAGAGCCTTAAAAGACTTTTGGATTTGTTGGCCTATTTGGAGGTGGAAATACGGGCTGGTTAAAGGGTACGTCCACGATGATGGTGCTGATGTCTGGAACGAATGGATGACTAGAGGTTGTGATGATGGATAGTAGGAAGCGAAAGGGTTGTTTCCCAAGTGCTGCAGCCTTCTGGTACTTTCCTAGTTCCTTATTTCAGTGCAATCGACTAGATCCTTCTCCTAACAAGTACTAGGTCATTGACAGTCGTTGCTACAATTCCTTCCCCTTGGTTTTCTTCGTATCCAGGTTATGTCTCCATTGAGCGGTTAATTCTCATTCAAAGATGATATGGGTGGCTGTTTCTTCCCTCTCATTGCATAACGTACAAATGGGCTCATCATTGAATGTGCCCATGTTGTGTAGATGTTTTCTGCCGTCACCGGTAAAGCAGCGAATTTGTCACTCTTGGTGAGATTGTGTACTGTGTCAGCATCTCTAGAATTTATCCACTTGTCCTTTTGTCATTGTTGGATACTGTGATGGATGAATCAGTGTTCGAGACGTTGTTAACTAACCCCCTAATATTTCTTTTTCCTCCTTGAGTGTAAGGAAACTATATAGATTCTCCATCTGATTATTAGTTTAAATTAGTTCATTATTTAAATCGAGTGATAATTTTTATGTAAAGTGTGGTAGAGATGAAAAATTTGTCACGAGTGGGGCATGTGTTGCCGAGAATAGAAATGGTACACGAAATTTGAATATATGGCAAAAAGAGGGAAATTTAAAAAATTTATAGGTTGAGATGATAAGTAGGTGTCTCGGGGGACCAACTTAACGATACTCACGTGTTTAGAGCAGCGTGGGTTCGTGGCCCGCTCGAGACACTAATTTTTCATCTTAACCACACTTGACATAAAAATTACAAACCAATTTAAATCATTGCTTTGGTTAAATAGGAATAACTAAAAAATTCATCGTTAAATGAGTTTGTTGAAATGACGTTTTTAGACAGGAATTTAAAAATTTTCTAATTAAAAAAATGGTAAAAGAGTGTAGAATGCAATTTAAAAGAACTTAAAATTTAAAAAATTAGATCAAAGGAAGTAGCAGTGTCGGTGTGTCTGATTGGTAGAGAAGCTCTGCGTTTCAAGAGCAAGGCCACAAGACAATATACAAAGCGGCCCTGGGAGGATCTGAACCGAAGAAAAGGGGTAGTTCCCACACGGTTAAGAATAGGCCATAGAAGGATGACACATTGACACTTACTTTTAGGCCAAAGCCCTCGTATGTGTCTGGCAGAGAGAGAGAAAGGTTGCACGATGTGTCTCACATAATTTCCTTGACTCCATATAGAGATTCCACCTATCTCGTTTTCCTTTTGTGTTTATTGAGAGTGACGTATTTATTAGAGTGAATACATAATGTGATTGGGTGGTGGAATATTTTACTTTTATAAATATTTACCACTAATATTTTGGGTTTGAAATACCATATAGGAATATCGAATACTCCTACTCCAGCACCATACTTGGGTGAAGATATGTAAATAGAAAAGAGTGTATTTAAGAATGAGTGAGATTGTTTCTAGATTTGAAAACTGCATGTGTTGAAGGCTGAAATGACCTAGCTGTCTCTGCCCCTGGAGCCTAACTTCAGAAGGACAGGTGAGACCGAGGTCTGACCCCGGGCTGCCAATACCCGAGGTAGGACATTCTGTACTCATGCATCTATCTCGTGCCCTGAGTTGAGCTTATATATATATATTGTTTAACTGTTGTGTTAACGATTGTTGGAAGGAATGCCGATTTTTCACGGAGCAAGGCCTATTCTAGTACCATAAAAGCTTTCTTTAAGGCCTGGGACTATTTAATTTGTGTCTTTCCTTAAATCGGGCAATTCTTGCACTTTCTCTAAGAAGACGCGCATTTTTCCGACGTGGGCGTTCACACTTGACTGACCTCCTAGACCGACAGTTGCAAAATAACACACCAATTTTCTTTCCTTGAGCCCACTCTTCCGTTACTACACAGTAAGTCCTATTGCGGAAACGTTTCCAACAGGACTTTCGCAATTATGAAATACGACCTTTATTAAAATTCTATCTTTCTCGCGGATCGGACGCCGGTAATCGCTACCAATCGTGACATTATTGTATTAACAAAGGAGGAAAAGTTGCCGTTTATAACGGGAAAATACTCTTGTAGAAAGGGATTTGGCTTACGAACTTACGAAGTTTATAAAGGCTTGCTAATTGTTACTATTGATTTTGTGGCTATTTTCAAGATCCCTACGACCGATTTTCTAAAACTTTTATTCGGTTTTAGAAAGGAACAGCCATTGTCCAAAATCATTTCATCCAAAAGATCATTAAAGCCTCAGGCAATTTCAGGCTATTACAATTAAATCAAATAGAAATAAACAATAACTTTTGATGTATTCTTTCGTGTGTGAAATCGTGTGATTTTGTAAATAAGGGATTTTTTTTTAAATCGTGAAAATAGGAAATCTGTTGGTCCATTTAAGTGATGTAAGTGGATGGCAATCGGTCAGCGCACGCCGTTAGCCGACTAACCCACATACTCTCTCGGATTACATCAGAGACAACTTATAAACACACACAAACACACAGACACGGAACACACCTACAAGGACGTTTGCGTCCTCGGCTCTCAGCTGACTTTCATCCAAGAAACTATGCTTCCCTCCCCACATTGACCTATGCCGAATATGCCCTGATCCGATTTCCTCCGGCGTCTTCTCTTCCGTGTTGTTTTGCTCAAGACTTCTAACATAATTACACCGAATTTTAGTGCCTAGTGCTCAAACTTTCTTTTGATAGTTGGCATTTTGAATGGCGTTTCAGTCAATATGCAAAACTAAACGTTCGATTACTTTTAAATAAAAATCATAAAACAAAAATTCATAAAGGAATGTAAGTACTCCACTATCTAAATGACTGAGTGGCGTGTAAATAGGAAAGAATATGTTTAGGAATGAGTAAGAATGGGAGACTGATTACATTAGAGGCTGAAATGAACTAGCTGTTAATAGCTCTTGGAAAAAACAGAGGTCTGACCCTGTACTGCCAACACACGGGTTAGACGTTTCTCGAGATCTGCTGGTAATTTATTGTATGGCAAAAGCTGGAATTGAATTGATGGGGGGCTTTGTGCAAAATATACTTGCTTAAAAGGAGTCTTGGATGAACTGAGAGACCCAAATCCATTTTTTGGCATAAGTCATAGCAAAGTCAAAAAGAACTGGAATCTTAGCAAAAAGACATCTTGCAAAAACAACCCAAATTGGAGAAAGAGGAAATCCTACTTATAATTAAGCAATTAAAAACTCTAACTGGTATATTCATATGACATGTTCTTCTTAAATACCACCAAAATAGGACTATCAACAAATGATGGGTTGAATATGTCTAGAAGAGACAAAAACAACAGAACTTATCCTACAACAATAATAATTAATAACTGTCCTGCAATAGCTAAAAAAGGTACTTCAGAAAGCTGTTCTTAAACCACACATATATAGATTCCAAACCTCTGAGAAGATTCTCTACCTCATAAAATCCTTTAGCACAGATCGACACAATAAACAAAAATTCATGTGCCAAATCCCTATGACTCCAAATGAGAAAGGAAAAAATCATTGATGATGTAATGACATGTATTACCAAATGCTCCTACTATAACTTTGAAAGCTTCTTTTGTTATTTCTTTATAATTCGGCATGTTTAATTTTTAAAACATTTTGTAGAGTGGATTCGCTGGACCTTTAGCTTTTGGCTTACTCGCAGATTTGAATGTATTATATCAATTTTAACTCACTTTTGCCACCTTATTGCAGTGAATTAGCATCCCTTTCGAAAGTCACTCCTGATGGCTACAAAGTGATCCTGTACCGCTTGAAAGACACAGATCCATCAAAGTTCATATTTCAAGATGCCCTGAGAGCATTTTTTGCATACAATGATGTTAAGATATCTGAGGATGGCATTGTTCCTGGGTACATTGTACTGTTTGACATGAAGGGATGTACGATTGGACATCTTGCTCGAGCTACGACTGTGATGAACCTCGTCAAAATGTTCATGGTTTACATTCAGGTAAAAAGTTTAAAACAGAGTTTAATTTGTATAAAATTGTCATGGCAAATTAAATAAATCATTTCTTGTTTATAATTACTAGGAATGTCATCCTGTAAGGCTCAAAGGAGTTCATATCTTAAACACAGCAGCATTCATGGACAAGATTCTGATGCTCATTAAACCTTTGATGAAATCTGGCTTAATTGATATGGTATTGATATAATCTGTTACATTGCCATTTTTATTAATCAATTAATTATTTTCTTTAGCTGCATATGCACAGTACTCTTGACTCTCTGGCACCTCATGTACCCTTAGACTTGCTTCCTGAGGATTACGGTGGCTTAGCAAAACCAACTGCAGAGCTTCATGGTAATGGAGCTTTTTAAATTTTAACTTTCTATTCAATTTAATAAAGGTTTTTTGAATACAGAAAAACAATACATGACACTTAAGAATGAGTACTCCGACTGGCTCAAAGACAGTGGTAATCTGATTGCGGATCTGAAAAAGAGGCCTCAGAAGAAAAAGTTATCAGCAATGGAAGGCAGTTTTAGATCTCTAGCTATTGATTAATTAAAAAAAAAATATATATATATATACCGATACAAATTGTTGAATAATTGTAGTATTCACAATGCTAAAGCAGGTATATTCTAAGTACAAAAATATTTTTATATATTTACAAATATTTTCATATTTTTGAAAACACAAGTTTTATGTAGTGTTCTTTACCAAGTTTATCTGTAAATAAAATTTACAAAGAATGTAAATATATTTGTAAAATAAAAATTATATTATTATAATGTCCCCCAATGTAGCCAAGTAACATTAAATATTTGTTTAAGGAAAATGCAACAGCTGAAAATCTTTTAATGAGTAGTACAGAATATTAGTTATCAACACAGCACACAACTACTCCTATTTCCTTTATTCATAATTTGCCATTCTATACATACAACTGAATAAGTTTTTTTTTTTTTTTTTTTTTTTTTTTTTTTTTTTTTTTTTTTTTTTTTTTTTTTTTTTTTTTTTTTTTTTAAAGCAAAATTGTTCCATATTATTTGTACATAGGAGTAAAGGGAACACAGTGCCGAGTGGTTAGAGCGTCCAACTCATATTTAACCATGCAACAAGCAGTTCTCGGTTTGAATCCCACACCCCATCGTTTTTTAATTGAACCTTGTTTGAAAGAAGTATTGTAAAGTGATTCCCCCCCCCAGTCTATGACACTCAATGGGTAGTTGGACTCCTGTATGACAGAAATTACTTTACTACTTGGGGAGGTCTGAAGTATTCTTTTGTACTAGTGCATAACTAAAACAAGTAAAAATAAACAAAACAAGCTATAAAAAAAGAGCAAATAAATTCTTTTAAAAAAATCAATAAATAAATAGACATATCTTTGTTTTTCTGAGAAGTCAGAGTATTAAGACGGGGCATAGATAATAAATTACTTTGGAGAGAATCACACACAACTACTGACAGGAAAATGTGCATCAAGATTGGTAAGCCCAGCGGAGTCACCCAAAATAAATTTTTTATTATTGATGACTACATCTTATTCCCCAGAGGGCAATCTAAGTAAGGAAATGATTCACACGACAACTTGTATAATGAAAAGCTGTTTCTTCTTTGGTAAATTGCCACATTATGATCTTGAGAGATGCTGGTATTTTTTAGAAAATATGATTTCTTGGGAATTGTATACAACAAAATATCAGCAGACCTATCAGCAGTGTAGAAGCCCCCCCCCCCCGGGAACCGCTTCTTCATTTCTCTCTACTCCCTGCATGTCCTGGCTAGAAGAGGACCTTCTTGAATTTTCTTTAAATTCCTATGTCCATGTTTTTGTATCCTCTAGTCAAAGTGAATTGAATATGTCTCTCCATTGTGTGGATTTCATATTAAAAATACTTGGGCTCTGAATATTAGCTTTTGGGGCACATGTGCCTTCTTGCGTCCTACATTTATTTTGCATCCTCATCAGCATCCCAGCAAATAGTGTCTTTTCTGACTAAGTAAGTTTTTCTTTTACCAAATTTTTTTTGGACAGGTTTATCCGAAAATTTTGTTTAAATTATTGTTGTTCCCTCCATTCAAATTGAACTGAGAACCTCTCACAATTACGTTGAGTTAAGATTATTGATGTACTTAGCCATGGGCTCTGAGTACTTGGTTTTGAGATCCATGTACCGTCTTGTGCCCTGCCAGAGTACCATCAGTGGTGTCTTAATCAACAGAGTGTTTTGCCTTTTCCCACTCTTTTTTGTACCAAAGTTGGCCTGGTGAGTTAAGATTATTGATGTACTTAGCCATGGGCTCTGAGTACTTGGTTTTGAGATCCATGTACCTTCTTGTTCCCTGTATCAAAGTACCATCAGTGGTGTCTTAATCAACAGAGTGTTTTGCCTTTGCCCACTCTTTTTTTTTGTACCAAAGTTGGCCTGGAAGTTTTGTTTAAATTCAAACACCCCGGGGACCATGAGTATTGGTTATTTGCTCTAAGCAGTTCTTGCAACTCCATTTAAGTTTGATACCTTTGGAGATTATTTTCTGATGTGCAAGACCTAATGTGGATAGTTCATTTGTAACAATTCTCAACATTATTAAAAATTAAACAAATTGAACACAAGCAATAATGTAAATATCCAGATTAATTAATAATAACTGTAATAAACAGTGGTAAAAGTTATAGTTTATTTTTGTTAGCTCGAGAAGCTGTATTTTGCATGTTATTATTATGGGTTTATGTATAGCTTATAACTAAAGAGTGATTGTTTGGTGACTTAAAACACCACATATAATGAAGAATAAAAAAAAAAAAAATGAAAATAAACTGCGGCTGTTTTTTTTCTTAAACAAGAAATAAATACTAGTGCAGTTCATATGTTTTTGTAAACCACATTAATACAAATTTTCAATGATTTGGCAGAAAAAAAATGGAAAAAATTAAACGGAAAATTCAAATTGACTTAAATTCCGCGCTCAAACTTTCACTCGCCGATACCTAAATATAGTAAATTTTCTTTTTTTCCCAATATTTTGTGTAATAAAGAAAGAAGATTTGGATTTTTTCAACCGCCAAAATAGAAAATGTTTTAAGGGAAAGAAGAACAGGAGACGTTTTTTTAGGGTTTTTTTTATGCATTTTGATGACTTCCGACGGGATGAAACAGCATATGTTTCGACTCGGATTGGATAGGAGGTAATCGAGTTGTTATCGTCGGCTATCGCTTTGCATGACGTCTGCCTTCGAGGGTGTAAGTTGTTTTTGTCATTGTATTATTTGTGTATTTTATGGTTTAACCTGGGGGAAAAAAAAACCGATTGGACTGAAAAAATGGATTTGGACCGGCCTTTAGAGAATAGCGCCGAAGGAGATAAAAGCGCGATCGAATCTTTCTTACAAGGCGAAAGAGGGGATGTCCCTCATCAGAAACCCGCTGATGAGTTCAAATCGGAAGAAAACCGGTCTGAGGGGGAGAGCAAAACGGACGAGGAACCGCAGCCGATGCAACCTGAACCCGAGTCCGAACCCGAACCCGCAGAAAAAGAAGAATGGATGGACATTTTGGGCAATGGTCAGTTGAAAAAGAAGGTGCTGAAGCCGGGCGAACCGGATTCCAGGCCTACGAAACCGGACGTGTGCGAGATCTCTTTCGAAGGAAGACTCGAAGATGGTACGGTCGTCGACAAAGAAGATAGGATCGAAGTTTTCTTAGGCGACAATGATACCGCTCAAGGCATTGATTTTGCTCTTGCTCTTATGGACAAAGGAGAAGAAGCCGAAGTGGTAATCGCTTCTAGATTCGCTTACGGCTCTCTCGGTAGAAAGCCGGACATCCCGCCGGATGCGGTCCTCACGTATCGATTGACCCTACACAACGTGAGACAAGAGCTCCCTGTGCAAGAACTTGACATCGAGAAGCGGATAGCGATCGGACTGAAGAAAAAGGAAAGGGGCAATTGGTGGTATACGAGAGATGAGCACACTCTGGCGATTCACTCATACCGCAGTGCTTTAGAGTACCTTGATGATACGGACATCCCTGGCAGCCCCGATGAATCGAGAGTACACTTTCTCTTAGATGAAAGGCTGAAGACATACAACAACTTAGGAGCATCCCAAATGAAGATATCTGCTTATGACGCAGCCTTAACCTCCTTTGGTCATGTTCTAAGCAGTCAGCCCACGAATATCAAAGCGATCTTCAGAAAAGCTAAGATCCTGAAGGTGAAAGGCGAATTGGAGGAGAGCATCGAAGTCGTGCGGCATGGTCTCACTGTCGATCCAGGGGACAAGAGCCTCCAGCAGGAACTCTCCTTGCTTCTGGCGGCACAACGGAAAGATAATACCAAACAGAGAAACCTTTACAAGAAAATGATGGGAAATAGCACTCAAGACAATGGGACTGAGAAGAAGAAACAAAAGTCATCCAATTACGGAACAATAACTTTGATCGCTGTTGTCAGTTTCGCTGTGGCTGCCATTGGTGCGGTTGTAGTGAGATACAAAATTACATAAAAGACAGCTTTATAAATAAAATACTAGTAATATTTTTTTCCTCTAAATTCACTGTACAACTTTTGATTTTTAGTCTTATGCTAAGTTTTGTTTACGGTTTTGTACTGTTCATTTTTATAGTGCTGAGTTGCATTATTGACCTTTTCCTTTCACATATACATTTCTTTTTAAATATACTTTTTATTGTGAAGAGTGTTACCATTAATTTTTACAAGCTCATTTAATGAGTACAGTTAAGAATGTTAATTGTTGAGAAGATATTGCATTCCTTTATTACTCAAACTTCCTCTTTCCTTTATAATCGACATAATGATCAAATAAATTCTATGTATGTATTGTAAGATTAATTATACATTCTTACAGTTAATAAATTGCCGTACATCATATTTGTATTTAAAAGTTAATACATTTATTTTTATATAATGAATATTGTGTTGTCAGTTTGTTTTGGATCCAAGTTAAATTGTGTGTAAGCTTTTATGCTGCTTAATGAAAAGGTTTTAAACATTTATCCAATTATGTCTTGATGAAAGATGGGCCGTAATTTATTACACTTTCATTTTCTGGATTTTTTGTTGATCAAATAATTAGTAAATATAAAATATGGTAAGATGAAGGGTAAGAATGTTCTAAAGGGCAACTGAACAATGATTAATCAATGTCTGCAGTGCAAGAAATTGAAGACCTGTGCTATGTATTAAATAATTTGTTTTATTTTTACGTTACGCTAGTTTATTTTAGTAATTAAGTTATCTTTACTGGCAGTGATGCCTAGGTGCAAATGTGCGTCGGTTGAAAATAAGGATAAAAATATGCATTTTGCATAAAATCACTTATTTACATAAACATTGCAGAAACCAATTAGCTTATTTGTTAAATATATATTTTTTTACAAAAACTATAAGCCAAATATTGTTAAACTGAAAAGTGCATAAAAAGTTATATTTCTTAATGCTCATATGTAACAGCAAAAAAATTTTTTGTTATTGATCTGCTTTAAATAAGTTGTTATATAAACAATAATTAAATTGTTTGTTAAAATAATCGGCCAAAATGATCGGATTTGTAATAAATAAATTTCTACATCCTGTGTGACTCATATTTGAAATTCAATTTTTCTTTCATTGTTTTCGATTAATCTTAGGGTTTAATAATTAAATTTTATATTATTTTATTATTAAAACACTAATATTTAGTTGTTAACTGCATGCAAGAAATTTTTTTAAATGTTTGAAGAAATTGAAACAAAAGTGAACAATTATTAACAAACACAGTTAAAAATCACTTAAGTGAAGTTAACAAAGTGTAAAACTTGAATTATAAATTTAAAAAAAATTAAAATACTGTGTATGGAAACTGTAGCCTAAGACAAGTAAGAAAACAGTTTTTATAAATTTCCATAACCGTGTTAACAACTCAATAACAAGCTCAGTGAAGATGGCATTGCGTAAAAATTAAAGTTAAAACAAATTGGAAAAGATTTTGGATGAAAACTGTTTCTTGAGACACTTAAACACCCAAATTATTGTTAATTTCTATAAACAGTTATCTATTTTATTGTGTACTAAAATAAACTTCAGACTTTAAAAAAAATTCATCTTGCATTTAAGAAATAATCGTTTCATATTTTGTTTGAAGTTAAATCAAATATATATAATANTGTATATTAAATTATATATTTTTTTCATATATAACATCAATATAATAGATATATCAATTGAAATATATGAGTGCATATTGAGTTTGCGCCACAGGAGGAACAAAAGTTGCATTATTTTTTCAGCAGCATTCATACTAGGTGTCGTGTGAGACTGATGAGATAAACTAACATTGACAAACGGTGCAATTTTGTGTCTACATTAGAACATGAATGATATGAGGAAGTGGTAATGCTACAAATTGGAGGTGATGAAAGGCACAGTACATCTGATATGTATAAAAAGTTCAACCCATTGATGTTAGACTGTTACTCATTTAATATTGCCCTTCACTCAGTATTGCCAAGAAATAACGTACCAAACAATATCAGAAGCACTGGAGCAAAACGAATAGAAAAAACACAGTACATGAACGATATACTTTGTGCAATAAGATTTAGAAACAGGTTTATAATTCTAAACAACTTTTGTACAGCAATCCTCCCATAATCATATATACCTGTGAATGTGCGCATATATACGTGTGTGTTTTGTATGCATGTGTGATTTATTTTTATTATTTTTTTTACTTAATTTTTTATGGCCTTATGAACTTTGCCAAGAAAGATATCATATGCGATGTGTATTCTTTTTTTTTTGAGGGGTGGTGGATGGAAGGGATGCATGAAAAAAAGGGCCAAGGACGACGGGGGGAATCGAAGCCCTGACTGCAGGATCTATGAGCTGAGGGTGTATCTATCATGGTGACCACTCCGTTACTGTGGTTCCCCATATGTGTAATTTTTACTTTCCTTAGTTTTTAAATAATATAATAGTTTTAGTTTTTTAATAAATCCTAACCCTCACCTAGCTTAACCGTAATCATACCAAAACCCTACTTAATTAAAACATTCATAATCTAACCTGTCCCAACCCATGTCACTCCTCAGTAATGAGACTCTAAATGGTCGAGCAAAAAAATGGGTCTATCTAGCCCAAAAACAAATTCATGTTCAAAAATTAAACAATCTGGAGATTAATTAATTGACATAGTTTTAAAAAATAAAGACATTAAATACCAGCCGTCTTGGACAGGAAACAAAATCATGATCGATTATCTCATTTTATTGGGTTGTCAGTTGAAAACATTTAGTCTGCCTGACCTGACTGTTTGGTTTTCAGTATTAGAAGGACCACTTTTTCCCTTACCAACTCTTTGGATCAAGGTCTTGAAGAAAAAAACAAATTCAGTTACTGCCAAGCTTTCAACCTATGGGTTTGTCAAGGCAAAACAATTTTGGATATGTCTACAGATTTTCATATTTAAGTTTTTTATAAGCGATCTCAAATTTCCTTGAAGACTGACTCAGTTCTAACACTACCACGCTTTGTAACAAGTTTTTTTCTTTTAAGACCATCCAGAGTGTTCCTGACTGTTTTAGCCTGCCAGGCTTGTGTCTCTTCTCCATCTTCATAGGTGGGTTTGATACTTGCCTCACCCTGCTTATACCCTCCTAAACTTAAAAAAATTAAGTTTGTCATTTGCTGTTTTGGTCCGTCAAGTCCCTTTCGGCTCTTCACCATATACTCTAGAGGGTTTAATTGTCTCACCCTGCTTATATGCTCCATCAATTCTTTGATTTTTGACTCGTGTTTTATCATTTAGTCTAGTTTGTTTTATTTGTTTTTACATTAGTCATTATTAGGGTTCTGAAGAATAAGATTTAATCTTCGAAAGCTCAATGAAAGAACTCAGCATAAGTTTAAATAATTCCTGGTTCTTGACTAAGCCAAATAACATAAATGAATATCAATTAATTAAAACGTTTATAGTTTATAATTAATGAATATTGCACAGGCCAAGTACACTAAGGTCCTCTTCTAATACATTTGCTATTTGAAAGACAATGGCGTCTTGTATTGACACATAAAAAACATTCAATTTATTCTAGGTTCTGCAATTAATGCACGGGGTGACTAATGTTAAAAGTTATGACGTTTTCAAATCCTTCAATTTTCTTCTGTAAGTCATAAAGCCCAAATCATAGTAAGCCCGGCCTAAGAAATACGAATAATTGCCTCATTCTTCGTCGGAAATGCCTGGTTCAGTTAACATCTTGGTTTTTAAACGGCTAAAGAAGATAGTGCTGTTTGTTTTCAATTGAGGAGAACGTACTTTCTGTACGTGCCTAACTCCCAGTTCCAGTTAAAAGGACAAAAGCGGGCGTGGCCGAAGGAAGGAAAAAAGAGAGACAAACGCCTATTTAAATATGAATCAACAAGTTTGAATAACTACTAGGTTACTGGGCCGTAAACCTCAAATTAGAGACGCGGAAAGTACAGGGACAATTATTTTCTCTACTTTCTTTTTCTTTTGAGAAAAACGCTCGTTTTTACGAGGCACGTATGGACTACGTTTCGGGAATATGACGGTCCTTTACTGTCGGCTCGATGACAGAACTTTACGGATGTTCTCGAGAGGATATAAAATAAATAATAATCTGTACTACGCCTAATGGACATACACTTTCTATTTGGGTAGTGTTTTGTATGTATTTCTTCCTTTTGTCATTGAACTACTTAGAAAGTTTATCGCAAACAGCCGATAAGACAGTCAAAAAGTTAGCACAAAAACTAAGCGTCGCCGGGAAATTTTCAACGATTAATTCGTTAAAAATAATAAACCATGCAACAGTTTGAAGAATAGGGTGCTATTTGTACTGTTCGATTTATTCTTCGGGTCTGCAGCCTGATGAAATAGAGCTTTGGGTTTGTAACTAACTCAATACAAAACACTGCAACCACTTTGGATATAAGGAACTGTGGGGTAATTCCAAGCCATCCGATACCCAGCGCAGCCAATCCTCCTTATAAAAAGTCCTCAGACAAATCAAATACCCTTACCTAATCTCACTATCCAGTACCTCAACATTCCTTTTGCCAACAACTGATCCCCGATCTAGCTTCTACAAGTTTCACATAACATTCATAGTAAAAGCTAGAACACACTCGTACAAAATCGCGCGACTGTCTATAGAAGTAGTAAAAAGTAAAATCTGGTGGAGACAAGTCTGGAGAATAAGGTGGGTGCTGAAGAACTTCGTAGCCAAACTCTTTCAATTTGTTTACAGTATGTTTTCGAAACATGAGTCCTGGCGTTGTCATGGAGGAGTATAGGACCTTTTCCGATTTACCAATGCAGGTTGTTTTTTGAGTAATTTCCTTGCAGTAAGATGTAGAGGTAATGGTTTCACCCCTAGGCAAAGAGAGTAGTGAATAATTCCAGCCATGGACCACCATACTTTTCTTCGGTCACCATAATTTCTTTTGAGTGGAAATTTGGTTTGGGCATGTGTCCTGGTCTTTCGTCGATGTTTAACCACTGCCCTGACCGACGCTGATTGTCGTATGCAATCCATTTTTCATCTCAATTATTATTTCAAGAAAAGGCTAGTTTTTTGCCTGGCGAGCGACGAAACGCATGTCTCAAGGCGCGTTATCTGCTGTCGCTCAGTGAGGTTATGAGGAACCCATAGATCAAACTTTTTGACTTTTCCTATGTTCCTTAATTGTCTTAACACGGTAGCTGCAATTGCATTTAGTTGTGCTGTGAGTCGTCTGACTGTTTGATAGTGGTTTTCTTCCATCTGAAGCTTAAGGATATCGTCAATTAAAGTTGGAGGTCTTCCGCGGGGCTCATTTTCCAATTCGGTTTTCCTTCCGAAAACATAGCAAACTAACGCGAATGGTTCATTTACCCTCTCTTCCTCAAACGCCTTACTGATGTTTC